TCCACGTTCTACACGTAACAGTCTTGCCAAAAAAAAAAAAAAAAACCCACCTCTGGCAGAGGAGACTCTGAGAGCAATAGCTCTTTCCTGTTCAGTCCCATGGCTGGGTGGCTGCCACGGCAGAAAGTTTTCCTCCTCTCTGGCAATGGAATGGAGGGGGGCAGCCAGATGTCCTATGAGTCTAGAGTTGGCACTGGACAGCAGGATCTCCCCAGCAGCCACGTGCTTTGCTCTCCCACGGGGCCGGTACATTCCTGCGGGCCCCTGCTACAGCGACATCAGACCCCAGCAGTGCTGGCAGACTCTCTTCCTGACTCCACTCGCAGCCCCACACGTTTCCGGTGGCTCAAAATATTGTTTCATGCCCATCACTTCTGCTTTGTCACTCCCCAGCCGCTGAGCTGCTCAATTGTTTCCCCCTTGGCCCACACACCAAGTCCATACAAGGAATGCTAAATATCGGTTAATTGAATAGTCGAGTAACCTCAAGAATTCTTATCGGTTAGTCAACTATTCTATAGTCCCCGGCGGTGGGGCTGACAGCCAGTACGCTCTGGCCCCACTCTCAAGGAGCCCCCTGCCACTCAGAGACAGCAGCGTGGGGTAGCAGCAGCCCATCTGGGGGGCAGTCTGAGCTCCTGGACCAGGATGAGCCGAAACTGACTCTGGCTGCCTGCCTGCCTGGCTCCTAATACACTTGAAATGCAAAGTCACAGCAGGGGTTGGTCCCAGACCCATCGCAAGCCAGGACTGAGCCAGGCTGCTGGCCAGGCTGCTGAAAAATTACTGGCAACATGTGTGGGGAGGGAAAATGCGTGTAGTCTATAGCATTAACCTATCACCTTTTGCGTATTGGTTAATCGACTACACTATTACATCCCCCTAGTCCATACAACTCGCTGTCTCCTTTAAAGTTGTACACTAGACCGCTATTACCTGGCTGCGTCTAGACTGGTAAATTTTTCTGCAAAAGCAACTGCTTTTGCGGAAAAACTTGTCAGCTGTCTACACTGGCCGCTTGAATTTCCGCAAAAGCGCTGACGATCTCATGTAAGATTGTCAGTGTTCTTGCGGAAATGCTATGCTGCTCCCGTTCGGGCAAAAGCCCTCGTGTGCAAATGCTTTTGCGCAAGAGGGCCAGTGTAGACAACGTGGTATTGTTTTGCGCAAAAAAGCCCCGATCGCAAAAATGGCGATCGGGGCTTTCTTGAGCAAAACCGCGTCTAGATTGGCACGGACACTTTTCCGCAAACAGTGCTTTTGCGGAAAAGTGTCCGTGCCAATCTAGACGCTCTTTTCCGCAAATGCTTTTAACGGAAAAACTTTTCCGTTAAAAGCATTTGCGGAAAATCATGCCAGTCTAGACGTAGCCCCTGTGTCTCTGACCTGGTCTCCTTTCACGTGGACTCTCCCTTGCCACGTGACCTCCCTATTCTGCCAGCATGGAGACCTCCTCTCTTAGCACCAGTAGTAAATATTTCTAGTGTGGTAGCACCCCAAGAGCCCACTCAGGATCAGGCGCCAGCAAGCAGAGAAAAAGACCATCCCTGCCCCCAAAGGGCTTACAGACTTAAGAAGGCACCCCTGTGCTTGGTCATGGCACTCTTTGTGCTTGGAAAGCCCCCTCTGGCCCTGTCTGCTTAATCACCTTCCTCAAGCTCTGTTCCGCCACAAACCCTGTTTTTAACAAATGTCCCCTGCAGCTAACAAGCTGCGTGACCGGAGTCATTCTTGTTCCTGCTCTCTCATGCAATCCCCACCTGCTCCTGTGTGCCTGTGACATTCCTTTGTTGTGTCTTGCTGACCTCACCTTGCCAGACACAGCTGGGACCCTACCACTACTTGTTCTGCGCTATGCCTCCCATATTTTGGGGCACCTGAGAAATTATCGTCCCATGCATGCCTGCCACCACGTCTCACATATTTCATCTCTTCTATTTCTAGGGTGCACTTGCTGTGGAGCTAGGAACATTAACACTAACCAGGGAGCAAGTTGGAATATGGAGGCTGTAAAACCATCATCTTAAATGTGCACATGGATTTTTTTTTTTTTAAAAATGCATCCTAAAGCTTCAGTTTACAGGTACAACTCCCAGCTTCAGCGATGACATTAGCTCTGGCTCAGAAGACGACATGTTAGCCCACTAGCCTACACTGATGATTTTTCCTTCTTAGTTAACCAGAAAGCTGTCTGGTCTTTCATGTCTCCAAGCTGCCTTTCTTCACCACATCCACTATCTCCTGCATGACTCATCAGTGAAACAATAGATTTTCGTCTGCATCCCACAGTAATGACATACAAAGAGAGCTGTTCCTTCTTGCTTTTGCAGCAGGTAGTGTCACTGAGCTAATGCTGCATTATCGCTCCAACTGCTTTGACAACACACACATAAAATGAATAAATAAAAAGGGGAATCCCAAAATGCAACTGTAATATTTTCAAGCACCTTTGCTTGATTAGAATTAATTGAAAGCCCACTTACTGTATTAATGCACTGCTAATCTAGCCACACATAGATACACACTTAATCTCGTTTTGAAAAGGTTACACTTGTTACAGAAAAAGTGAATGATGCCAGGGTTAAGGTTGATAGCAAGTTCGGTGATCAATCAGGAAAGATGGCATTCTTGCCAAGTAGCCAGGTATCATCCGCACCTACAACTATGCTACCATGTGATGAAAAGATAACAGGTTGGAAGTGGGGATGCCTAACCCTCTGGTACCTCCTGCAGGAGGTCTAATCCTGCCCATACACTCCCACTATTATGAATGCCAATAAAAGTCCTGGGTTCATTTTTTATTTGGCACATCTTGATACAGGCCAATATCTAAAACTCAAGTAGACTGAGATTTCCACATCCACTCCACCAAAAATATCCCCACAAAGGATTGATTGGAGAGAGAGAGAGAGAGAGAGAGACACACTCTCACACACACAAAAGCAGCAGCACCCAGAATGATGATTTTAAAACTACCCTTCTCGTCTTGATCAAAACATTGCAGGCATCTCCCTGCAAGCCAGTGGGAATTGGAAGACAGATTGATGCACCTAAAAGCCTGCCTTTGTGTAGCACAGTGAAGGACAACTTAGGCCAGTGAGTGGGCCGCATGAGCAGCCCTCCTTCATCTCAGCGAGCCACAAGATAGTGGTAACCAAGACCGTCTCCTGGGACAGGGTATTTTAGCCAAGTGTACTTGTGCACTTAGGATATGTGGGATGGGCCGACTGAATTGTAGCACCACTTTGATTCAATGCAGAGGGAGTGCGTGGTTCTCACACTCAGCTTTGTGTGAAATCAGCACGCCCCTCACTTTGTGTGCCCTTCAAGTTTAAAAAACTAGGTGGGCAAAAACCAGCAGACTCTGGCAACCCGGTGCCCAGGCAACGGTAAACAAAAACACCTCATGGGCCACACACGGCCCAGTGGGCTGCAAGTGGCTGACTTCTGGATGGCATACAGTGAATGTCACCACAACCTAAGAAATGAAATAATCACCACTCTAGTGCACACCCCTTACTATCTGCAGGATGAAGATCACATGGGGAGGGGGGAGGGAGATAAGCTGGAGGGAAAATACCGAAGTATAGTTCTTGCTGCTCTATTTTTAATCCCATATATACTATAAACTCCTGGGGGTGCAGCCTGGTTCTTCCTGCAGCAAGAGATGCCCGGATAAACTGCACTGGCACATGAATGAGCAGACCAGCAGCAGGGTGTAAATTATTCTTTAACCCCCCCCCCCCTTGCACTTCTGACTCCTCCCCCTCCC